GTCAGTTAGCATAATAAAAAACTTAAACTAGAGGTCATTTACTGTAAATAAAACTGCAGGCATAATTTCACAATATAAGATCCTGGAAATAAACAATGAACTATGATTAAAATAGGTATTTTATATTTTTATATTATTTTTATATACTTTAGTAAAAATATTCATTCACTTGAAGTCCCTTTTGTTGTCAACTTTGGCTATAAATAATTTACCCCTGGTACAGAAATTTAAAGACATGGAGAAAAACAAACTATTATATAGCAAGAACTACATAATTTAGATGTAGCTCAAAAACCAGATGACTCTATTTCCTCAATTAAGAACAAGGTTGTGTAAACCAGAGTTGTAGAGTGTTGATATATGTGGGATAATAAGTTACTTGATGTTCTTAAAATGCTCTGTTCCAGGAATTTGACAGTATTAAAAAAAAAAAAACTTTCTTTGTTAGATGTTCTCTATAACGCATTGAACACAACAACAACAACAAAAAAAGAAAAGGGTGCTCAGTTTCTGTAATTCATTATTCACACAGATGGTGCTGTCTATTCATATTACTAGCTGTATTTTTTATCAGCTATCAATAACATGCACTATAGGCATTGTAACAGTCCCAAACTACTCAGACAACTCTCTAGCTTGGAAGAGTAAATTCAACTCAGAGGTCTAAGAAATGGTAATCACTTTGAAGATTTATGTAGTGAAATGTAAGTCTCATTTCACATTGGAATTTAGCCCATGATAATTTGTCCTAAGTTATTAGCCAATAAGTAAATTTGTACTTATATAACATAAACTCTCGGACATAGACCAGCTTCCTATTTCTCTTGATCTTGCATAAGCTTGGGTGATGTAAAGGTTTGAATACCTCCTAGAAAGCTACCAGCTGACAAAGATCTAAATTTTACTGTCTCACTGACTCAAGGTATGACTTTTTAGTGGATTTTGATATCTACCGTTCATTTTACTATGTTAAATGGAAGAATCAAATGGAAGTGCTTCCTAAGTTTCCTTTCAGAATTTAGTCTTTAATTTGTGGGCAACTAAATAACTACACAAATATTCAAGGAAAAAAATTCCTATGCTGTGGGGAATCAGTTTACCGAAATGTATGATATGTTGATAAATGACAGGAGAGAATATCTGTGTCATAATCTCAGAGTCAAGAAGGATAATGAATCCTGGAAACATCAGAGGTTTGAGTATGTATTTGACATTCTACTATAAAAGATTTTAGGGGCCATAGAGATAGGACAAAGAGCAAAACACTTGCTTTGCCCACAGTTGACTTGGGTTTAATACTTCGAGTGCAGAGCCAGGAGTAAGCCCTGAGTACCACCACATGTGGTCCTAAAACAAAAAAAGATTTCACAGATAGTCATCAACTTCTCAGGGGGTCTGGTGCTGCCAGCAGGTCAATCTGTACCTGTGAGGCGAGTGCATCAGCAGCTTGATGGTGTCTTCAGACTTCCAGATACCCCAAAATTGCTGCTGTGCCTTTGGCCAGACCCCAAAAACTTGGGGCAAAGTTTATCAAGAAAATAAATGGCCAAAAGTTAGTATGTAGGAGACACACCCACAAAACACCTCTGGCTCAGCTATATACTTGGAGGCATGGCCTCTCTGGTTCCTGATCAAACTGCTTAACGGCCATGATCCCAGAGACTCAGAAACAAATCTTGAAACCCATAGGCTTTTGGCAGAAATGTGTCCAGTTCCTGCAGTAGGTTACTGGCGCTGGGCCACCACAGATGGGAATAGATTTCAGCCACTTGGCCTGGCGGCCCGGTGACTGCCATCCTCAAGAGGCCACTGGACAGTCAGGTTTGGGCCCACAGTGACGAGGCACGTGGGGCCTCATGGGATGGGAGTGGAGCCAGCCCTTTCCTCCCCGTCCCAATGAGACCCCGAGTCACGACCCACAAACAGCCTTTCCCAGAGACTCAAGAACAAATCTCGGAACCCAGCAGGTTTTGGCAGAAATCCCTCCAGATTTAATTGTTAAAATTTCGGAATTTCAAAATTGCAGCTGCGTGACATATGTTATTCATAACCAACAGTAGAAAACAACTTGTCTACTGTTGCCTTTTCAGCAGATCTGAGTGTTGGGGTAAAATCCCAAATAATAACGGTGGGTCTGGTGTCAAAATATTGAATATAATCAAAGTAGAGAGAGAGTAATGCGGAAATCATCTGCCCCACAGGTAGGGGGAGGGTATGAGATGGGGGTAAACTGGGGTTTTTGAGGGTGGAGAAAGGGCACTGGTGAAGGTACGGTTGTTTCATTGTATGACCGAGACTTAAACCCAAAAGCTTTTTAACTGCTCTCACGGTGATTCAATAAATAAAATTATAAAAAAATGAAAAAAAAAGAAAGTCATCAACTTCTCATTTAGTAATGTTCTCTTCTACTCTGGTTCAGTGGTGCAGGAAATGGCTGAAGTTGGGCAAAGATTGTAAAATATAGCATTATACTTTGTTGTTGGTTGAGATGGATAGCTTGAACATAAATTTGAGCTGGTATGTTACCACTTTGTTTTGGTGGGGGTGGAGGGACACTCCCAGACTATGTTCACTGAGGTCTGGCGGCCACTCCTGATGATACTCTTCCTGCTTATGCAGACCAACAGCTTGATACTCCAGGGGTATATCTAGTGATGATGGGGTGCCATTTGTACCAAGCATGAGCTTTAGCACTTTGAGCTACCTCCCAGTGCCTCCTTTGTTATTATAACTTGATAGAAATAAAACCTCCCCATACTTATAAGACATTGAAGATTTTGATCTCATTTCAATGATCCTAGGACTCCCAAATAGCGTCACTATTGAAACAAATTTCTTGGCACCATTATCCTAATACATGGAGCCAACATAGATTCAATTATGGTGAAGTATTTTTTAAAAATAGGAAAAAGTTTTATGTAGACCATCTAGCAATGGTCTATGAAAGAGCAATCTATTAAATTATGGTTCTCAGGTGATCATAGAACACTAAGTATTACTTGCAATAAACACTCATTTAATACAGACTTACTGTGGACATTTATAGTAATAATAAAAATAGTGTTTTTTCTATAAAAAGTTGGCTAAAATACAATTGCCTAAAGGGCATACATTTTCAAGTTTTCTTTAACTATGCATTTTCATTATCTATAATTTCTTACCGATCAGTGCATGAAGATAAAGATGGCAATTATGCTGTGACATATTTTGATGGCTGCAAAACTAGTTGCCTTCCTTATATAAATTGACAGAGTGCATGATTTTCTGACTTCAGAGAATGGAGTCCAGTAGTAAGTAAACAGGGCACCAGTGCCCTGACTAATTTCAATGAGAACATTTCCGAAGCTTGAGAGCTCTAGTCTATGCATCTCCTCCAGGATTGTTTCCTAGAGTTATTATTCTGCAAACTGTTAAGAAAGTTGGTGTGAAAAAGAATGCCACTCCCTCTACCAGATTCTCATCTCATAAAAGTAAAAAGTAGCTAACATCCACAGATTTTTAAAGTTTATATGTGTTGCTTCCTGGGAAATTTAATTATTACTTCTACAGTATATCCACTGTTTCTTGTTTCTATGATAAAACCCCCACAATATTACATCAGTTCCTCAAAATCTGGTTTGTGGTGAGGAAACTAAGTATAAATATTTGCATGGATACTTGACAGTGTTATCATTGTTTTAAGTGAGGCTCAAGGATTAGAGAGACCTGAGTAAAATTGAGTAGAAGGAATGCGGACTTTGAATTCTCTAGTTTTAGTATAAACTATGGACAAGTTTCCAAACCCCTGTCTGCTTCAATGTCCCCTTCTGCAAAGCATGAATTCTTATAGCACTTGGCTGGTTGGGCTATGGGAAGGCTAAGTGCTGTAATATGTTTCTGGCACTTAGCCCAGAGCCTAACACATGCTAAAGTTTTCTTGAAAAGGAACCTAATATTATAGCGAGCAGATCCATAAATGTTGAAGTTATGCAATTATAACATGAATGTGTACATTGCCTTCTTTGATCATACTGCTATTTTCTATCTCAGAGGCACTCCATGGTGAAACCTGCTTATTAGTTGTCCAGGCTAGGGATCAAGTGGTTTCTTATTTGCATGGATAATTACTGACTGTACCTCCTAGGGAAAAAAATTAAAAAGAGCAGTGTTTAGAGTTCATCACTTGTGTAAATAAGATCCTGGGTTTGATGGCTAGTACCAAAAAAAGAGTAACTTGAAAAGAAAATAAGAAAAAAAATGAAACCACTACAGTGACCATATAAACTAGTAGCACTGTCCTACAGTACTGTCCTCCCATTGTTCATCAATTTGCTCGAGTGGGCACCAGTAACGTCTCCATTTTGAGACTTGTTACTGTTTTTGGCATATCAAATACACCATGGGAAGCTTGCCAGTCTCTGCTGTGTGGGCGGGATACTCTTGGTAGCTTGCCAGGCTCTCTGAGAGGGATAGAGGAATCAAACCCGGTTCACCGAATGCAAGGCAAATGCACTACCCACTGTGTTAGTAGTTGAAAAATTTCAAAAATCACAGGCATAGATGAGAACAATTCTCTTCTATGGACTCATCATCCAGTTTCAATAATTATCATCCATTGCCTCACTTTTGAAAATTAGATTTGCCTCTGAGCCAGGTGTCATTTATGCTCCTTTACAGAGCTGTTCAGAATCTGACAATCTTAAAGAGCTTAAACCACAAGCAGAGAAATACAAGAACAGAAAGAGAAGGACTTCACATGAAAAACAATGGAAGGTTATTAATGAAGGACTGAAAATTAAAAACCTGCTGGAATTCTTTTTACAGCGGTCTGGAAAATGCAGATGTATTCTGAGAAGACACTGTTCCTTTAAGTTACTTACTGAATCCACCCAGATCTTGCACCCTGGCCAAATGCCTGACCACTCTTGCTTTAATTTAGTCTAATAAACATGAATGAAAGATTGCAAAAGATTCTAAAGCAAAGACAATTTTTAATTCCCACAGAACAGAACAATATCAAATAGCCATCTGTTCCCAACAATCATCCTTGCTGTTGGCATGGCATTTGTTTAGCAAGTCTTTAGTTCCTGTCTGACAAGCTACATTAGGTAAGCCATAACTGTTCTGTTTTAATCACTAACAATCTGATAGGACTTTTTTAGAAATCATGGAAGAGTTCATGGGTTACGTATTTATTATGTGAACAAAGTTTCTCATAATGTTTTACTCTCTGCTAATACTTTTAAATAATTATAATAAAATATTAAAATTGTAAAAAAATTATTTTAAAGTTACTTTTAAAATTAATTTTTAATTTACAATCTACTGTCTGGCATTGCATTGATGTTAATGTCTTTTTAAGCATCTTTATTTTAATTTGAAGCTTTTATGGTTTAATCTTAATTACAATATACTTTATATAACTTGACTAGCTTGAACATTTGAATAAAATCTTTATCTTCATGTCAAAATGCATTAAATTGTTAACACTAAATGAAATTGGTAAATTGCTGAAAATCGTGTTTCTGAAAAATAATAAAATAGAAAGTCTCATGAAGTTATTGAATCTGATATTTAGTCAATATAAGTTTTAGGAAAAATATAACATTTAGTTAAATAAATTACTTATGCCATTATAAGATGTAACTTAGAGTAAGTGAGGAGCTTAATATTTATTTTATTTAAGTAATAGCATTTTTTCTTGAGGCCTCTTTTGTTTGAATATGATATATAAAAAGAGAGAATGATGAGCATTATTAAAAACTTGAGGGCAAGTAAAATACGGCAGAAATAAAATGGGTCAAACTTATAAAGAAAGTCAAAATTACAAAGAAAAATGTTAGGAAAATGATAGAACTAAACATTAGGGAAATAAAAGTAGAACAGCATAAGGGTGCCTTCTGGATAATATAGAAAAATGAAAAGAAATAACAAATATTTAGTTTACCTAGACAAAAACAAACATAAGAACAAATAAAAATAAATATAATGCTTATTTCTAATAAATAATACAATTTTCATTAGTAAACATTTTATATATAGGAGTCCAGGTTTGAATTAATGATGTATTCTGAGAATATCGTAAAAACACTTGCTTAGTTTGGGGAAAAGATAAATTTTCATTTAGAGCTAATATCACCAAGTCAAAATGTGGCCTATAAATAGAACCAGAGCAGTTTTCTTTTAAGAAGACTGAATGGAAAGTTGCCTTAATCAGGTATCTTACAAATAAATCTACTACTTCTTAAAATGTAAATCTTATAAATAAATAAGTTATCTGATATATATTATATACATATATATATCTTATTTTCAAAGAAATTGAATTCTTGGCCTCTTCTTTCCAGAACTTTTGAAAAGTTCTCAGATGTTCCTCATGGTATGTGTTCAACAAAAAGGCATTTGTAATAACAAGGACATAGACATGTTATTCCTTTTCCCCATCTTAAAATGCAATCACAGCTGTGTTTTGCTATAGAGCTGTACTCTTACTAATCTTCAGAATTAAACTTGTTTATCCTTTATATCCTTTTGCTTTCTCCTACTTTATTACTAAGATTACTTGTGGAGGTATGATCTCTCTCTCTCTCTCTCTGTGTTTTATTTTCTTAAGACACTTCCTTTACTTCTATTTTTTTAATACCCTTCTGTCTTCACATATTAACATATATTGTCTGAAGAGAATTGACTTTGGCCAATTACACTTGACACATGTGCCAGCAGAGATTCTTGGGCATACTGATACAAAGTCAGTTTAATAAACTTCCTGCTGGATGATTCTATTTGAAGACTATAATATGGAATCATGTACCTCTTGTCAAACCCCAGCCTGAGAGCTTATTTCCCTTTGGGGTTTCTCACCTGGCATGTGTGGTAGAAGCCATCTTCACTGACTTCGCACATTCATCCCTTGTTCAATACCTGGGAAAATTCATGCCCATGATTTCTCAGTTTTGTACCGTAGAGGCAAGTTGCCAAAATGTGATTTCTTTTCCAAAATTTCTCAAGTCAATATAGTTTAAGCTGGCAAGAACATTGTATTCCTGAAAGTCAACTATGAGCAACTTTGTCAACTATGATGTCTTAATGAAAAATTAATTTTAAGAAGAGAGATAAAAGAACTCCCAACTCATGTAGAAGAATGGTTCAAAAAAAAGGCTTCCTTTCTTCCATTCCCAGGAATACTGTGCTATTCCTTTATGATTCTTTTCAAACAAATTTGTGAATTTAAAAAGTATTGGTAGATAGTTGGGAAAACTGAGTGATAAAGTTAGCTGAATATATTAACACAAGATTAGATTTTTCATTGATAATCCGAAAAAAAAGATTTCGGAGGGTTTTTCAGAGAGTGTATCTCCTGATTTCAATTACTGTCCATTAGTTCTTACAATTAAGAGCAGAAAAACAGAATTACTTAACACATTTAACTTGTTTAATTCTCTTTTGACTCATTACATATGCAGATATAGGTTATACACTGAACTCTGGTGGAGTTGACATTTCCAAAGTAAGGGTAAAAAGGAGATATGGTTATCTATGTAACTATTATCATGAAATGAATGAAATTACTCCTCAGCAATCTGAATTCATCTGAAAAAAAGTGGAATTACAGGGCTGCCACCCAGGTTCCATCACTATAAATCATCCCAAATATCTCCAGATGTGGCTCTGAGGTTTCCCCAGTACCTCAGAGCCCAAGTAGCACTGCAATCTCAGGCCTTAGCATTGAACCACCGGCCAGATTTGGTTGAGTGTCTCCAGGAGAAGCTCTGGACCCCTTGAGCACTGTTTGGGAACCACAAAGAATGTGGAATTGTCAAAGAACTCTAGGGTGACCATGATTAACCCCTAATCACTGTATAGGGTGGGAATAACATACAGGGTGGGACTGAAATGTTTTTGAATGGGTCTCCTTTCTCCCTTCTCCCCATAATGGGAAATCCAGACCAACAGGATAGGATTCTTTGAATATACGGGCTGGAGCAATAGCAAAGTGGTAGGCGTTTGCCTTGCATGCGGCTAACTTGGCCAACCTCGTTCAATTCCTCCACCCCTCTCGGAGAGCAGGGCAAGCTACTGAGAATATCTCGCCCGCATGGGAAAGCCTGGCAAGCTACCCGTGATGTATTCAATATGCCAAACACAATAACAACAATTCTCACAATGGTGATGTTACTGGGCCCGCTTGAGCAAATCAATGAACATTGGGAGGACAGTGACAGTGATAGAAATATACATCAATAAATATTTAGTTATAATACCATACTTGGATTATAAATATTTAAAAATGTCGATATAGGTATGCTTCTATGGCTGAATAAAAATTATTTATTTCTGTCACATGCTACTTTCAATTCTACTGACTTGAAATAAAAAATATCAAATATGTATTTTATTAAAATATTTATAACTGACTTTTCTATTAAAGGTACTACAAGGTCGATGAGTTTTCAACATCTACCATAATGTGGAAGAGAAATTTCATCTTTTATTTCCTGCTTTTGCCAACTATTATGAGTCAAATAATACAGAGACAAAGAAAGAAAGGATCGAAGTCTAATTTACATGCAAGAAAAAATGATTTCTGGGGTAAAAAAGTGTTTCATTTCTGGTCATGATGTTTAGTTTTAGTCTTCTAAATTAATACTATAAATTTAAAAAATATCACTTTATGTAAATAGTGAAACATATATGTGACATTCTGTTTTGGCAAGTTTATATTATAGTAATATGCCTTACTCATTGTTCATACTGACAAAACAATAGTTTTTAAAAGCTGCTGCACATTTAGTCACTCATTTTGGTCTCACAGTAAACTTGTAAATATGCACAATAACACTGTCATTCTTATGAAGAAATTGAGGCTTCAAGGCCCAGAGGCCTAGAATATAGTTCAAAGTGATGGGCTGCATGTCTTCCAAGTGCACAGGGGACTGGCAATGGTTATGGCCCACCATGGCGGGAGACTTCTATAATATGGAAATTGTTTCGCTGTGTGTTGTTTGTTTAGGGCTGGTGTGGAGAGATGTAAAAAGGAAAAGAGATTGAGGTTCAGAGTGATTGAGTATCACACGTAATTAGCAACACTATGCAGAGCAAAGATTCCTGAGCACCATTGCTGTGTGCTAGAGACCCCCAAGCATGGTGCCCCCCACGCAAAAAAGCAAACCTAACCTCTTTGTTTCAAAGTTTCTTTCTTCTTTACTTTTGTGAAATATCTAGTCATTTTCTCCCTTGATTGCAAAAAATAAAAGTTATAACAATAGTGGAAAAATGAAAGGGCCTCACCAGTAGAACTTGTACCCTGAAAATTAGGTGGAATACTATTTACTTAGTATTTAGAATTCTAAGTAACATTCTAAATAATATTCTAAATAGAATGGTAGAATTCTATTTAGAATGTTACTTGCAACTGTATGGCTATTTACTGAATTTTAAAGCTATGACATTCCCCCTTTCCTCCTATTTTAAGCAGGCTTTTATTTGTTTGTTATTGATGTATATTATTTGGGGCATGGTCAAGGTTGGGCCACACCTGACGATGCTCAGAGCTTGCTCCTGCTTTTGTGCTCTGCAATCATTCCTGGCAGTGCCCAGGGGACCATATGTGGTGCCATAGATTGAACCTGAGCTGACCTTGTGCAAGGAAAGCATCTTTACTCTTGTACCATTCTTCCTGACTCTAGTATGGACGGCTTCACAGGAGGAAAATTAGTTTCAGATTAAGAAAGATTCATTTTAAACAATTTAGGTCGCATCTTTAGAGGATCTTCCTTTCTCATTTCTTCCACTCCTTCCCCCCACCAAACAAACAGTATTTAGCGCGCCAATTACCATATTCAAAGCTTTTTCATGTGTAGGGAGGAGCACTGTGCCTAACCTACTTTTTTATTTAATTTTTTTTTTAATTTCAGACTCCACTTGCTTCATAGATATTGTCTTTATCGTGGACAGCTCAGAAAGTTCTAAAATTGTTCTTTTTGATAAACAGAAAGAATTTGTAACTAGCCTGAGTGAAGAGATTTTCCAATTGACCTCTTCTCACTCTCTGAGCTATGACATCAAACTGGCAGCTCTTCAGTTTAGTAGCTCTGTCCAAATTGATCCACCTTTTTCTGCTTGGAAGGACCTGCAGACTTTTAAAAAGAAAGTCAAGTCTATGAATTTCCTTGGGCAAGGCACTTTCTCTTATTATGCCATTACCAATGCAACTAGGTTACTTAAAAGAGAAGGACGGAAAGATGGCGTGAAAGTAGTCTTGCTAATGACAGATGGCAAAGACCATCCAAAGAGTCCTAGTGTTGAAAGTATTTCTGAAGATGCAAGAGCTGCAGGAATATTATTTATCACCATCGGACTTTCCACTGTGGTTGATGAAGCCAAACTTCGTTTGATATCTGGGGATGCATCTGGTGAACCCATTCTTCTATTGAGTGATCCAACCATTATAGATAATATTCGGGATCGCCTGGTAGGTATCTAACACACTGCTGTTTCTCTCATCATAATATTAGTAGCTTGCTTACTAATTCCATAAAGATAAATTCTGGATCAAAAACAAATAATAGTGAAAAAAATCCTTCTTGGAAGAAACAAGAATGTGAAATCTTTACTTCCTTAATAATTTACACCAGAAAAACTGAGAAAGTACCAGGCTCAGTCTCCGGAAATAAATTTCTAACTTCATTTCTAGCCAAAGCTGAGGATTTAGGAAAGACTTCTTTCCAATCATACCCCTCAAGCTCTTCCTTATATATCGTGGGATCATAAATACTATTGACTACTGTTTAATTTGTGGTCATCTTGTGGTCTGCTATATTTATAATAAGTTGATCTCTTCCATTCCACATCTGCAGAAATATTTTTTACTCTTTATACTTACTGCCCTAGTATTACTCAAACTAAGTTTATTAGTATCCAGTTATCCCCTTGTTTTCTTGGTGTTAGCAAAACTACTGAATTTATTTATTCATTTAAAAATGTGTTGAGTTTTTATTGTGTCCTTAAAATAATGGGATTCTTCATTATTATCATTATTATGTTTTATTTTAGTTACCATGATTTACAATAATATTAACCATAGGGTTATAATAGTGTTCAGGTTTCAGGTACTAATGTACAAAGCTACTGAACACCCCTGCCCACTGAAATGCCTGTGATTCTTCCCCATATTCCTTTTTTACCTCTGGTCAAATGTTCCTTCCCTCCCCCCCCATTATTCATAAATGAATAGTTTTGGTCTTCGTGTATACTGTTACCTCCCTTAGCACATCCATATGCATAAGATCACTCAATTTAATGTCACTTATAACCTGTAGTTACCCAATATTTTCTCTCAGTGGATCAGTGAGTCGCACTGGATGGTCTGATTAACTACATCAATGCTTTACTTTATTGGTTACTTAGCTGTGTGCGTGAGCTTTTTATGCTGCTTGGGAGAAAAATGAAGCAAGGCAATCAAAATAAAATTTCTCCAAAATTTTTCTTAAGGGGAAAACACTTGGAGGTCTAGTGGTTGGTTTGCAAAGAACTAAGACTTAATTTTCTTTTAAAAATTCTGATTTTCTCTTAAGTTTATTGAGAAGAAAGAGCAAGACAAATATGTTTCTTAGATACTTAAAATTTTATATGGCTATTTTTATAGGTTTCCAAAAACATTGGGTCCTGTTTAGAGACCAGTTTTTTCTTGCCCCAAATCTTCGCCAAATCCCAACATTTATTTTTGAAGTCAGTTGTTTTCAGCATGAGAAACTTTTCTTATCAAAATAGTAGTTATGTCTTGAGTATTCTTTTTGTTTTAGGCATTTCTCTGAGCACTTTGCAGATTTTAGTTCATTCAATATTTACAACAATTTTATGAAGTATGGATAGCACAGTGGTAGGGCGTTTGCCTTGTGTGCAGTCAGCCTGGCTGAGCCGGGTTCGATTCCTCCAACCCTCTCAGAGAGCCCGGCAAGCTACCAAGAGTATTTCGCCTGCACAGTAAAGCCTGGCAAGCTACCCATATTTGATATGCCAAACACAGTAACAAGTGTCAAAATGGAGACGTTACTGGGCCCGCTAGAGCAAATCGATGAACAACGGGAGGACAGTGACAGTGATCTACTGTCATTACTATCACATTTAATAGGGGGAAATCCAAGGCCTACTTAATACCTGCATTGCAAACCACAAGACCCTAAAGGAGAGAGAGAGAGTAAAAGGGAATGTGCCTGCCACAGAAGCAGAGGGAGAAAGAATGGTGGGGGGAGGGATACTGGGAACATTGGTGGTCGAGAATGGGCACTGGTAGAGGGATGGCTACTCGATCATTGTATGACTGAAATGTAATCATGAGAGTTTATAAGTCTGTAATTGTACCTCATGGTGATTCGTTAAAAAAGAAAAAAAAAAGAAAAAAAGAAAACAAAGAAGAAAATTCAAGACCTTAGAGAGGCCATAGAGACTATCAGCTTAATTTAGAGAATTGAGCAGGGTATAAAGTAACTATAGTTTAAACAACCCTCTTCAAAAACATAGTATTGTTTTTATTTCCCTTTAGGCATTGAGGTAGAGGGGTGAGGGTTTTTTTGGTTTTGTTTTCTGTTTGTTTGTTTTGGGGGGTTGTTGGGCACAACTTGCAGTGCTCAGGGCAGCCACATGCAAGGCAAACGCCCCGGCCCCTTACTGTCTGTCTTGTGCTGGGCAGAGCAAGAGAAATTTTGCTTAAATGAGGGATGATGGACCCAGATCCAAGGGTGTTTTTGCATACAACTGAAATGGGTCTCTGGTAACTTCCTTACCCGTTCTGTGCCATTAAAGAGTCTTCACCATGGACCTGGGACAAACTTGCATGCTGCTAACATAGATTTGATTCTAGGAATCTCATAAGATCCCTCCTGAATACAGTGCCAGGAGTAATCCTAGAGCACTGTCAGGTCCTCCCCCCCCGAATACAGTGCCAGGAGTAATCCTTGAGCACTGTCAGGTGTTTCCTCCCACCCCCTCAAAAGAGTCCTCACCATTAAATTTAAAAGACGTTTACAGCATGTGCATGAGAGAATCCTGGAACTGTGTTAATGAGTTGCCTGTTACTAACAGCAGAAGATACAGAGCAGGCAGCTACTTGTTTGGCCAGATGTGCGGAATCCGGGTGTTCATACTGCTCCAGACTCATCCTTGCGAATAAACCCCCGCCCAACTGAGAATACAGCCCTGGCAGTAGATTCAAAACAGGACTGTTTCTTGGGAAACCAGAAAATGATGAAGCATCCCAATAACCCTGCTATTCTTTAGCATCCTATGATTTGTTTGTTTGTTCAGATGAAAGTTTTGTGAACAAGCCACTTCTTAAAGGATGCCTTCCAAACACTCCCAAAATTCTAAAAGGCATATGATGCCTTCCAAACACTCCCACAGAAAAGATTGTGTATTTTCATTTCCTGACCACCACTGTTTAGCAGGCAGAACTTGACTTGTGATCAGATTATTGCAAAAAATACCTCATCTAATCTAATTCTAATTCTATTTTTAATAGTTTTTATTTGAAATTATTTTGTAGTAGACTTTCAAAATAAGTGAACAAGCTATAAGTAAAAAATTTTACTTAAAGTGAATAATTACATGATTTTTATAGGTATATACACTTATGAAATTCACCAAGATGCAGAACATTTCTATGATTTCCATAAGTTTCCTTATACCTTTTTTCAATATATATTTATTTGTCTCTGAATTACTAATGTGACTTGACACTCTATACACATTCTCTAGAATTTTAGATAAATTTACAGATAAATCCATAAATTGGGTGATATTTTTGCCTGTTAGGTTTCTTATTCCCATTTTTTTTACTTCAAATCATTTTTCATGTCAGTCCCTTAAACCATTAGAGTCACTTGAATCATTTAGCTGTCTTCTGTCTAAATGATTAATTTGTATGGAAATAGAGTGAAAATAAATGTGAAGAAATTTGGAGTCTACATAAAGTTATAACACTGACTTACCACTAACTTTCTCACTATAGCCTTCATTTTTGATATCCTGGAATCAAATTTTTTTTCATTTCTGCTTTCAGTTTTTTTATATGTAAATTACCCAGAAGGGACTCATATGACACATAATTTCTATCTTAAGAAAACAATAATTCTCTCTGGAAACCAACTTAATTTCTTTTCAGTGTTTGACTTCAGACATTCAGTGCATTTGCCAGATGAGCTGAAGTAAGGTAGTAGCAGCCAGATATTGGACAAAAACCTAACCATGAATTACTAGAAAATGATTTATTTAAAATAGTTTAAAAATTATTTTTGCTAATTTATTTTGTGTAAATAGGCAAGAAGCAGCTCTGATATTGTTCAGGTCATTAAACCCAAATGTGTGACCTGGGACAAGTACCTTCCACTTTGGACCAATGTATATATGCAGAGATAGAAAAACAAGCAAAAGCACACAATCAATATTCAAAATCTTTGTAAATAAAAGCAAGAAATATCTTATTATGACCAATGAAGTTTTTAGTCAAATTATAGGACTATACAGCTAATAAAGGGGAGGGGTAGATAAAAATTTAGAAGGCAACGGAAAGTGTTCTTATAGAACACAATACTTTTTATTATTAGAGCCCATCTCATCTCTTATTATTATATAGCTTGGAGTGCTCCTTGGGTGGTTAGCTGTTAGACTTTATTGCTTTTACAAGGTTAAAAAGTCTGAATTGCCATTCTTCTTGGAAATTGCATATCCCATAGGGAATAATTAAGACTAATAAGAAGCTGGAAGCAGAACCATGAATTGAATTAATGTTTCATTCTTTTTTCCCTCCTAGGACATCTTATTTGAAATGAAGGTAAGCACCACATGCTTTGATTACTATGAATTACCCTAAAAGCTCACATTATCCAATCAAGATTATTATTCACACTAGCAGATAAGGTGACTAAATAAAAATGCCTAATTGTGTTACAAATGAGCTTCTCTATTTCAAGACACTCTAATGCTGATTTTCTTTCCTATTCAGCAAATTTGCTTCAGGGTGGAAAAATTAAGAAATGGAGGAGATATTTAACACAATTCTAGAGAGCAACTATAAAAATGAACAAAAAAAAAGATAACAAAGCTGCATTTAAAAAAATTATGTTGATATGCTTCCTTTAGTCTAAGCAAGTCTCTAATACCAGCTATTCCAAAGGGATTCCTTACTTTGGGAAATGTGTCAAGTAGTAGCTAAGATACAGAGATCCATTTTACTGCCTGAAGATTGGCTTTATACTTCTTTAACCAAACCAAGTTTCAAAAGGAAGTTTGCCAATATTGTTTGAATAGTACTTTGCATAATCAAAGCTATCAACTTGCTAAGCTCTCTTCCGTGATTCTTAACTTGAAGAATCTGGTACAACTGAATATTGTTTGATACATTGCTTATAAACATTCAGGAAATTTAGTCATTATTACGATAAAAATAAATGTTTCATTGAATTATGCATGGTCAGATAGAGATAGATATAGCATTATTTTATGTGCCATAAGAAAGGAAAACACTTTGCCAATTAAACTGTGATACAGTGCTTTTTTAAAAAATCATTGCTATATTTAAGTTTATATTGTAGAAAGAATGTTTAGCTATAATAAAGTATAGATTTTTAAAATCCTATATCACTTTTGTGCATAAATACAATGGTATCTACACCATTCTGTTTATTTATATCTTATTTATAGATATAAGTAAACAGAATTATTTCTAAAACTTTGTAGAATCTAAATCTTCTGAGTCACTTGTGTCAGAGTCATTGATGCCTTGATTTCCCACACAATACTGGTTTCCGTGCCAGCAAAAACATTAGTGATACAGCATTTTTTGAGTACCTCAGTAATTAGAATACTTCTCTAAAGTTTTCTTTATTCTATTGCATTCTGTGTTTTGAGGTGCAAGTGCAGTAAAATAACTTCATTGTGACTGGCCTGACCCATAAAGGACTCACTGTGATTTCATAGAGGTTAAATGAAGAAATGCTTCTTAAAATTGATTAACATATGGCATAAGTCAAAAGTTCTCTTTTGCTGTATTTGATATTTTTGTATTATTGAAGTGTTATTTGTTGTATAGGAGGAACAGTAAAAAATCAAAAGTCTACTGAAAATTTTAATTTTTCCTTTTGACTACATTTTATACATTTTTTGATAGCATGTATATTTCATTTAACCTTGATTGCATTTTATAATATTTTATTATCTGTTTTTTATTAGTTTTATTTATTATTTTATTATTTCTCAGTTTTCTGAGCAGGATATAATATAAAGAACAAAATCTACATAAAGTTGTAAGCTGGCATTTCTTCCAGAAAGTGTTCAGTTTCGCTATGTACTGAATAAGACTTAAGGTGCTAAGCTTGACCATGTTAATACTATATTTCACTCTTGATTCAGTGTGAACGCAAGATTTGTGAGTGTGAAAAGGGAGATCCAGGAGACCCAGGACTTCCGGTGAGTGTATTTCTGCTTTGACTTAGGGTCAGCCCAGGAAATCCTGGCAATGTCGGAGGTACTCACACTTGGAAACACTGGGTCAATTTTATGCTATTGGAAAGCAGTTGTGTGCAAATAGCAGCAAAATGAAAGTGTTGTTTCTTTCATTTATTCCTAAAGGGATACAATCTATCCTTAGAAGTAAGCCTGGGATTTTACTGACCTGAGCTGAGTGCAGATTTGGTTTAAAATGATGACGTTGTTCCCACAAAGGTTATTCAGTATTGCTTCTGATGTGCCAACTGGGGCCAGAACTTCTCAGCACAGGAGTGAAAAATAGAAAAAGAGATCATACAAATCCTTAGGGCTTTGGGGAAAGTTTTATCCTACCCCATCTAGAAACAAGTGACACAGACCTCTCAGAAGTTAACTGTCTTCACATGTATCCAAGAGCAACACAGTGTGTGGTCCTGCACACAGGAAGCTGATCAGGAAGCTTTGGGGATTAGAGTGAATTTATGAGATGGAAGTAATCACTTGGCAACCCAAGGTAAATGCCACGGTGTTCTAATATGATTCAATAGCTGTTATAATCAATCCAGTGGAAAACTTCCTTTATATTTTGGCCAAACCAAATAATATCTGATAATGGTGCTATTTGTATTGGGAAGGTATTTGAAATGACACCACAATGACTGGACGTATGAAACATTCTTCTAACTCTTATCGTCGGACACATCCATCCAATTCCTTCGGTATTGCATTGACTTATGTTATGTCAAACCTTAGAGATCAAAAGTGCAGGGGAGATATTTCACCTCCCAATTTATATAAGATAACATGGCAGCCAGTAGAAATTGATTTTAACCAAAACCATGGTTTAACATTTTCTTTCCATTAAGCACTTAGGCTATCCTAATAATGCCAAGAGATTGCTGGGGAGGGGTGAGGGAAAGTTTACTTGGAATACTCAATTATGACTTAGAATGAAGAGAGAGAAAACTTACAATTGCTTAGCTAATTAGACAATTTTAGTCACTAAAATGAATAAATATTACTATAACATGTTTTAATAGGGATAGCCCTGGAATATGTAATTTAGCATTTATTGACACTTAAACCAGTTTTCAGAAAACAGAGCTTTTTGATAGATTGTGAATAAAAAAAACCAGTTCCTTTCTGAAATAGAGTTGGACAAAACCCAGGGTATCATATTCATGTATGTGAGGCATTCACTCAATTCCTGAGCCACATACCCTACCCTCTTTTTCCATTTTTTTTTAGATTATGAGAGAGAAAGAGAAGTTATATTTTCTTTTAAGTAAATACAGAGAATCTGCCTGTTCACAACAATACCATCTCCCTGATAGGTAGTATGTAGTTAGTTACATTTTCCCTACAATTGTTCCTTATCATCTGGAATAAAATGATTGATAAGAAACTATTATAAAATGAAGGAACTAATCAATAATTCATGGAATTGAATTCATGGAACTGAACTGCCTTTTTCTCTTCACCTTCAGGGTACTCATGGAAACCCAGGTATCAAAGGTGACCGAGGACCAAAAGGAAACCCGGTAAATGAATAAACAGCTTTTATTTAAACCAATGAATTTCTTTCCAGATTAATTAGCACTGCACTGTAGCCCTGTCCTCCCGTTGTTCATCGATTTGTTTGAGCAGGCCCAGTAACTTCTCCATTGTGAGACTGTGTCACTGTGTTTGGCATATTGAATACATCATGGGTAGCTTGCTAGGCTTTGCCTTGCGGGAGAGATACTCTCAGTAGCTTGCCAGGCTCTTCAAGAGGGGCAGAGGAATCGAACCCCGGTCGGCCGGGCCGGCTGCGTGCAAGGCAAATGCCCTATTGCTGTGCTATCACTCTAGCCTTTGCCAGATTAATTAAAAAACAAATATTAAGGAATTGTAGGTTATGTTCATGTTAAAAACCTAAAGATTTTTGTAAAAAATAAGATGTTTCTAGATTATGTGATCTATATTAGCTTTCATTTACAAGTTCTGAATAACAAATGTACAACCATTTTAATCAGTAATTTTAGGAAATCTAGACAAGTTGAATAATAGAAACTTTTACCTAATTGATAACACAAATCAATTAGTATAATTAGTAGATAGAATCAGTTCCATGAATTATTGATTCATATGAGATTAATACTAGCACATTTATTTTTTATGGATCTACTTATGAATAAAATACTGGTATCTTTGTGAGTGACTACACGTTATGGACACTTCAATAGTAACGGAAAAACATTGACTTGTTTTTCATTCCCAGACCTCCTTCCTAATTCTTTTCTTTGCATACCTCTCAAAAATATCCTAGATTAATTTTTGAACTTCCAATTAAAATAAATATTAGAATATTATTTCAAGTTCAAGAGAAATTAAAAGAATCACAGGTGAAACATGAGAATATTTAACTAAAAATTTAAGGCAGACTTCTGCATGATGATCAACAATAATTCAATCGGAGAAAGACATACATGGAAAAGTTTGTATAGAATATGTAGGAGTCTAAGTTAAATTTCTATAGTCAATAATGCCCTCATAATATCGTTGAGAAAATATCAAGCCTCTAATTATCAAATTATCAGAGATCACAAACAGATATTTAGAGAAAACGAACCCAACAAATATGTAGAATAACATATTTCACTAGATAATGATTGACATTTAAGTAGAGGCAAGTCACACTTTCATATAAATTACTGATTTTTGTTTTGAGACTTTGTAGTTTGGAATTATTTTGTTGTTATTTTTGGTGTCACACCAAGCAGTGCTCAGGACTTACTCCTGGTTCTGCATTCAGGGATCATTTCTAGTGGGGGTTGGGTTGCCAAATGGGATGCTGGGGATAGAACCCAGTTCAGCTGTGAGCAAGGCAAGCTCTCTACCCACTGTCCTGTCACTCCAAACTCTGTAGTCTAGAATTTTTTAAAAGAGAGATAAATGAAACAATTTTGTAGTTCACACAATTCTTTTTCTGTTAAAAAATTTAAATATATTCATTTTCTGATAGTTGTGAAGGCAACAATATTAAAATCATAATTAGTGATAAGAGAGATAGAAATGTGGCGAGAATTGCTTGCTCTTCATTGTGCCATGGTAACCTGGACATAGACATTTTGAAAAGCAATTAAACAATAATTAAAAGCACCAAACTCCATTTCTGAGAATATTTCTAGGGAGTTGTAAAAATATGGTAGATATATGAATGCATTTATGTAAGATGCCTGCTTGTCTAAGAAATGGAATGCAAAGAATCTTTGTGTGCTTTTCGCACACACAACACGCACACATATACACTCACGCACACACACATAGTGAAGAAAAACCTTGTATTTGAGGGCTCAACTTATATGTGATATGAATTTATGACATCATATCTTCTGGTTTTGTTAAATGTCTGTTATAAATTCATATTCACATTTCACTTATTTGGATTATAATTTTGTGCCACACAATATATTTTCCTAAGTCTTGCTGAATCAAGCAATCACTCTTGAAGACATTTTAGAAAACATTCCAAAGTCCATTGGATAAAAGCCAAAGTGGTTGGCTCCCAGTGCATACAATGCTCTATTTGAGAACAAGGAACTTCTTGTTAAACTAGGATGCAATACTTGGCGTAAGCTGTGAAAATGTACCTGGAATCTTCACCCTAGATGCCTGGATATACTCCAAAGGGCAAATGCTATCTGAGTCACTATTTTCTTCTCTAGATTGCATTGCAAAATGTCAATTAAAAAAGCCAAAGATTTTATCCCCATTGGTCAACCTTTTAATCTGAGATGTCTGAATAATACACTTTATTGAGCTATCACTAGTCATCCTGCAGGGCTGTGGAATTTTGACTGTGTTTTTGTTTGTCATAGGGTGATGCTCAGAAAGGGGAGCCTGGAGAAAAAGGCCCAGGGGTATGTACACAACTGAAATGCCTTCCTCGAAAGTAATTGCAGGATGCTTACATTCATTTTGATCCTTGTAATGTAAACCCAATGTGATTTACATTACATGTGTGCTCTTGATGAATAAAACAGTCTATTGGACAGATTAGGATTATAGACATGATCCAGAAGATTTTATAATATGGTTGAGAAAAATATCAAGATCTAATTATGGGGGGGGGGCAATATTTCTGCTTAACAGGAGTGATGATGAGACTAGGGTAGCCAACCACATAAAATTTCTTGATCATGTGCCAGAGAGACAGTACAGGGATAAGGTATTTGCCTTATATGTAGCTAACCCTGGTTTAGTCCTCAGCAATGCATGGATGATTCCTTAACAAGAGCTGGGAGCAGCTCCCCAATTCCCTATTAATATATTTAATATTTGTGAAAGACTCATATAAGGAAGTTATTTTGTTTTACTTCTTATGTTTTATTTTTTAAATAGAGAATAAGGAAATTTTGGTAGCATGAATTATATAAACTATGTTTTTATAAAACCAACTCTGCAAAGAAAATATTATGCTAGTTTATTTAATATACTTTGAAGTTTCTAAAGGTTTCTGAGATATAATTATTGTAAATTTTTTAACTTTTGTTTTCTAGAAAATTATAGTAGTGTAATAAATAGCAGAGAAGTATAAATAGAATAAAAAGTAGGTCAAGTTACATTTCTCCTTTCTGCTCATCCCCTTACTCTGCTAGATTCGGAGATTCAACATCTCTTGTTGATTTTAATCAGCTTCACAAAAAAAACCCCAAATCAGTCTAATAGAACATTTAATAATTTCAATATAAACTCATCCAAAATGTGTACCATTCTTTCAGGAAACATTAACTATCATCTACATACAAAACACAGAATTAAGGCAAGACAAATTTAAGATAAAGCACTAATATCTTTAAAAGTTTTCTAATTTAAATAAAAGTAAGATATTCAAAATAGTTATAATACAAAGAAGAATGTTAAAATGTTGTAAAACGGGCATGCATAAGTATTTTAGACATTCAGAGGGGACGGGTGCTATCATAGAAACTTTCATGGGTTGGCCTCTGAGGAGAGTACAGGATTGCTCTAGGTGGAAAAAACAGGAAGGTGGAAGGAGACAGGTATTCCAGACAGAGAGTGTGAGCAAAGGCAGTGTGCGGAAAAGTAAGATATGATGCCCGAAGAGGACTATTCTATTGACTTGAAGGTCTGAGTTCTTAACAAAGCAGCTCTAGATTTAAAGCCTTGTCCTTTGATGCCCAACCCTTGAGATAATAGAGACACATGTACTAATGGCTATTTGGAAGATTAATCTGACACAGCTTTAAAAGAGAAAAAAAAAATAAAAGAGAAAACAAGGCTGGAGAGATAAATAACACAGGTGAAGGCACTGGCTTTGCCTGTAGTTAACTCTGGTATGATCCTGGACACCGCTTATGGTTTCTGGAACATTGCCTGTAGCTATCCCTGAGCATACTGTCCTCCCATTGTTCATGGATTTGCTTGAGTGGGCCCAGTAACATCTCCATTTTGAGACTTGTTGTTACTGTGTTTGGCATTTTGAATATATTGAATACACCATGGGTGAGATACTCTCGGTGGCTTGCCGGGCTCTCTGAGAGGGGTGGAGGAATCGAACCTGGCTTGGCCGGTCTGGATGCGTGCAAGGCAAATGCCCTGCCTCTGTGCTATCGCTCCAGCCTGAGCACAGAACGAGGAATAAGCCCTGAGCACTGCTGGGTGTGCCCTCCCAAACTAAACTAAACAACAGCAGCAACAAAGAGAAGATAAAATGGGAACAAGTAGAATAAAGGAACACTTTAAAGAAAGTTTGATATTAAACCCACTTTGAGAGGTAAGAGGAACATTGACTAGAGTTGCTCCAGCCTAAACCAAGCTAGTAGTCCACTGAGCACTTGATGTGTGCTCTAAGAAAAATGCAGACCAACTTTTTGCGATTTAATTTTAGAAAATTATACAAAACATCTCAGTAATAATTTTTACATTGATTCTATGTAAAAATAAGTCTTTTTGACTTGCTAAGATAAAGATGAGTCTTTTGATTCAATACTTACGACCTAAGTGAAATTACTTCACTTGTTCATTTTTTTTGCTTTCTTGATGTAAGGTAAAGGTAAAGGTAAAGGCCCTCCCATTGATCGTCGATTTGCTCAAGCGGGCCCAGTAACGTCTCCATTGGAGACTTTGTTGTTACTGTGTCTGGCATATCGAATACTCTCGGTAGCTTGCCGGGCTCTCCGAGAGGGGCGGAGGAATCGAACTCGGGTCGGCCATGTTGGCTGCTTGTAAGGCGGACGCCCTACCCGCTGTGCTTTCTTGATGTATCATATACATTATATACATATAACCTATAGTCCATAGAACATCTTGGTGACACTGTTTAAAATATTGTGACAACATTTAAAATATTCTTGTGGATCAAATGAGTTGCTTATGTATTTTTGTATAACACAGGGATACAGTGATGATAAGGAAAAGAGAACACTGTGAGAACTCTGAAAGAGTAGACTAAATCATAGGACAAATCATGCATAATATGCTTACTGTGCTGGGGATCCACTTCTAGGTTTTGAGGATGCAGGCGTGAATAAGAAAGATACTTTCCATATCGTATGTTATCCTAATTGCAGAGGCAATCAAATAGGAGAAAAATAAATGAGAATTTCAGCCAATGATTAGTGTTATGAAAATGTTAAACAATGTCACCAAGATGTTCTAGGCATAAAGATAAGTAACCTCAAAGACTTTGCAGTGGGAACTAGTGTAGAGAGAAAACTGGAAGAACTTGCAGACTAATGTTGACTAAGACTGGTGGGTGATAGATAGGCTGTAAAGGTTGGCAGGCACAAAATCATAATTATTTCAGGCTAGGAGCATTTAACATAACCTACATTATTATGTGAGTATACATATATAAAATATAATTATAGTTTATATGTATATAATGTATATGTATACACATAGTGGAAAATTATTGAAAACATTTTTTTGCAATGCTGTGGGTATCCTCACACTTACTACAGTGCCAGGGACCACACTTGACAATGTAGGGAAGTTCCATGTATCAACATAGGGTTTCACATATGCAAGGCGTCCTAGTTACTGTTCTATCTCTCTGACCCTAGCTAACTTTTTAGTACAAAACATGAACTGTTTTAATAGAGACCATCAATTTAGTGTCTATAAATAACTATTTCTGAAATGGGTTACATTGTAGTATAACAATCTTCTTCATTTGTTCTATTTTTATTCTCTACTGTTCAGCAATTTTTCGTTTGGAATAAAGTGTTATTTCCTTTTTTACCTTTTGTAAAAATGACATAGACACAACACAGTTTCGTAGTCTGACTCACATGTAACTGCCTTAACAGCTTATTTATTCCATTATTTTCTCCAGCTCATTTAAAATATCTTACATTTCTATTTTCATACTTCAAAAATATAGTTGTATAGAATAGAAATAAAATCCTATTTGAAAAAAGGCTCTTTGTCTCTTAGAGTTGGTAATTTCCCAGTCCATTTAATATTCAGTATTGTGTTCGTTGAAGAGTTTACAGGCAGTTGCACAATGGAGAAGGCTGTGCAGGATTCCTGGGAATGTTACAGAGGACGAGCTGAAGCACTGTTCCCTTATTTAGCTTGAGATAAAATATAGTAACTTAAAGGTCACTGTCTCACTAGGGTTGATAAAGGAACCATTCATTTCCTTGATGCCCTATATTCTAGACTGAATTTGAAAGAAGGACAATAATGGATATAAATATTTACGTACATTTTAAAGACCATTATCATAGGTCATTTTAAAAGCCAATTTTTCTAAGTGTCTTTGTGAAATATTCTCTATAAAAATGTGTAGTTTGGGGCAATCGAACAATTCTGAAGGGGCCATTAGTGGCTATCTTTTCTATGATGAATTTTAGTATATGCTTGCTCCTTTAGCTTTAGCGCAAAGGGTGAGAAGTGAGTTTGAAAAAAACCTGACAGAAATTGAGTACAGAATGCAATAAATGAAAAAATAGGATTTTTTCTTCTCTTGAGTAAGTACATATTCTTTAAGCAAGAAGAAATGTAAAACTTGTTACATTTTTATGGTCATATTTTCCAGGACTCTGCAGATTTGTTTTTATTATACTTTTATCAATCAAATACATTTAAATCTTCCTCCTATGACTTCAAATATCATATTTTCTTTTCTTTTTCTTTTTTAATTAGGGAAATCCTGGGTTCAAGGGTGAAAAGGTAAGTGAAAAGGTATTAATAAATAGACAAAAATTTCAAAGTAAAAACCAAAAACAAGTGTTTCATATAGCTAACTTTATTATCATTATTTTTATATTTTAGTTCCTTAAGTTTACTCTTAATAGCTGTCAACATAAAATAGAAATAAAAATATAAAATATGAGAGTGTGTTGTAAGAGATAGAGGGTGACTTAGATTTTTGAAATTAGAATCCAACCCCTCTCAGCTCTATAAATCTCAGTTTAACAGCCAAGCAGCACAGATTTTCACACTAAAATTTTCTGTATACAAACATATGCAGTAACACTGTGGTTAGATTGCTGTCTTGGGGCTTAGCTCCCTAAAACCACAAGAAATTGATCTCTCTCATAGGGGAAAGAATTTACCCTGCTTAAGCAGCGAAGAATCAATAATTCCTGTGAGCCAGGCATCTGGGTGGAGCTTGCAGGGGAGTAAATTTAATAAACAAAAACATGGTAGCAGTCAGTAAATTATTTGCAAATGATAAGTGTGGAAAATTGAATGGATTCAAAAGGAATTAATTGAACCCTTCAAAGGGTTCAATGGTCATTGACAAATCTAAGCTACGGTTTTGCCTATTATCACAATTCCTGTCTAAAACCACACCCACACCCATAGTTATCCTCCATTCTATGTACATGTGGTGCAGCATCAGTTAATGGCCTGAGCTTCACAGGGCTTTGGACTGGGTCTCTTGAGGTTTCTCCACTCTTGGAGACAGGACTGTGCAGGGTCGGAGATCTATGTCCTTTCTACTAGATCTTGCTTGGAAACAAACTGCAGAACCCTGCAAAATTGTTTATGCCTTCTTCAAAAGTGTACACAAAACTTCCTTATGTCCATCTTCTTTCTTTAGGCCTGAGGGGAAATCCAAAGGGAGCTGTTTGTTGGGGTAGGGAAAGGACTGAAAGCAAAATTATTCGTGTTGCTTGGAATATCTGCATTTTCATGCACCAGCTGCTTCTCTTGCTGAGGAAAAAGCTAAACGTTAGAATTGAAGTGGAAGTTAGGCTATTGTCTGAGAGACAGGCCTATATTCAAGTACAGATCTGTGCCAAATCCAAAGATTATTTATTTTACATTAATTTAATAGCATTGTTGTTGTTTTAGAAAGGAAGCTAGAACATCGGTAGTTTATTGGCTTGATTTTAAACTTTCAACTCTTTGGATACCGATGTGTTGGCCTCTGTTTGCTTTCTTATGCAAGTATTTAGGGTGAACCTACACAGAGCCAAATAGTCTTTAACTATGAAAATGTTAGGGTAAACTGGGAAGAGTATAAGAAATATCATAATTCAGCACTTGTGATAAGAAGGAGGAACTCAACCTTTTGGGGTATGTGTTTTTTCATCTGTATAGAACTGGATTATTTCAGGTCTCTAAAGTATAGGATGGCTGGAGAGTGACATTGAATATTGGATATGACATTGTTTTATGAACTGTTTGCTAGTCTATAAATATACAGTGCTATCATGAAGTGCAGGGAATAATGTGTTAACATAAAATTGTCCTACAAGTCGCTGAAAAAAATTATTCCTGCATATCCATGACTTATTCAGTGAACTATTGACACTGCATATTTATTAATACACGCATATATGTATGTTATTATACATATGTAATATATACATATTATACATTATATAATATACATTATATACATAACACATATACATAACATATAACATATACACTTATAGTACACATATATTATATATATTCGAGGGAGAAAGGGTGGGGAGAGAGAAAGTTAACCTTCAGAGTAATTATAGATTCACTGGATGAGTTCTTATTTGGATAAGCTGTAGAGAAGAGTGATGGAATCAGACATTCAAACAGAATTTTAACCAGATCAGCACCATGAGAAATCAAAGACTGGGAATAGAGCAGATCTTTCCATAGATTTCTCAAGTATAATCTTGCTAGAATTCTATAATTCTAAATTGTGGCTATCTCACAGGGATTAATAAACCCACTAAAAACTAAAATGAGCCAAACAACTTTAATACAGTATTTTTATTGATGAAAATCTACCCCTCAAACAAATGGTATTCCTTGGCCCTATAACTAACAAAGTTTTCCTGAGAAATGGAATGTGAATTCTGACTGAAAGAATTTTAAATATATTTATGGCACGTCTTGGTTTTATATTTTGGTGGTTGACTCATTTTATTCCCATCCAACATTATTTAATTAATTGCTCTCTAATAGATTCTTCAAGAGTCATTTTCCATTCGCATTCAGAAACAAATGTTCAACTTGTTCTAAGTGAAAGCTCAGCTTTTCCTGGGTTAGTCTGATTATTCACAATATGATGTGGCAAGAGAACAGATTGCTTTTGAACAGAGGCATAGCTAATTCTAAGAATTTACTACCCCCTCTTTCCTTCTTTTGAAGCCAGCAGTAAATACCCCCATGCAGTAGGCAGAAGTATCAGTTCAGAGGAAAGTAACTTGTCAACTATGATAGTCTGCCTTGCACAGCTTTTAGTGGCTGACGAAGAACATGGCCTTGGGTGTCCTACAGACTTGAACTTGTAGTCACAGGCAGACTAATCACTATGGGCTGAATTTTCCTTTTCTCTCTAAAGATATATGTCTTGAAAAGCTGTTGTAGAAATTATCATTAATGTAGAAAATTTGACTCATAAGTCACATACACAATTGGAGTTACAAACTGTGATTTCCTTTTCTAGGATAGCATTATTCAAAGTGTAGTTTGCAGGATTGCTGCTATTTTGTGAGAAGACTCTGACGCCTACCTACTTCACTATATAATCTAGCCATCATAAAATGTGCTGTTTAGCTCAGTTGTCATTTATTCTTCATAGCAATATTTCCTCAATACATCATGGGGAGCTTGCCAGGCTTTGCTGTGCAGGCGAGATACTCTTAGTAGCTTGTCCGGCTCTCCGAGAGGGACGGAGGAATCAAACTCGGGTCTGCCATGTTGGCCGCTTGCATGGCAAACGCCCTACCCGCTGTGCTATCGCTCCAGTCCAAGTCATAAATATGTATATATATATATTCATATATAATTACTAAGATATAAAACAACCTTGAGAAGTCTAACTTTTGTAGTTTTTCTAATTATAATCTACTTAGAAATCTTACAGTTCTGCTCTAATGGATTAGCTTTCAGAGGTCTTATTCTCATTTTATCCGAGCAAGTCACTTGAACATTTTGAATCATTTTTAGTCTGTAAACTTGGGTTAATAGTGTCTACCTCAGGGACCAGAGAGATAGTGCAGAGATTAAGATCCTTGCCTGAGTTCACAGTCATCCCCAGTTTGATCCCTAGCATAGCTTATGGTTCTCCAAGCATGGCTAAGAGTTATCCCTGGGTACAGAACTAGGAGTAAGCTCTAGCACTGTCAAGTGTAGCCCCTAAATTAAAAGTACAAATAATATCTATTTCATATAGCTCAAGAGAACTGAGCTAATGTCTGTAAATATTGTTAATAAGCTGTACAGCATAACTGACATATGATATATTGCTTTATTAATATTTCAGGGAAGATAGGACATTGAAATGTGATGAAGATTCATACTATGTTTACAACCCTGGCTATTATTTCACCTGAGGTCTTGCTAATCATTATGGATCCTTTAACCATCTAATTATGGAAATGTAATTTCTCCCAAAATTCCACAGAAAAATAAGACTAAGTAATTAAGATTGATAGTCCAGTAAGAGTATAGTATTGTGGAAATAAGAGACTCATTCTGGTTTCAGATCTTGAGTTTTCTACTTTTTAGATGCATGATTCAGGGAAATTATATTGTTGAGATTAAACTTTCTCTTTTATAAAATAAGAATGGGTTTTATAATTTACTTCTTAGACTATAATATTGAGTGAATTAAATGGTACATGCACGGGGCATGTTATAGATGGTAGATGCTCGGTAAAGTTTGGGCTCTTTCCATTTAAATACACCCATCTCTTGAAAATTAGGTGATATTACTTATTCAAGTTTTGTCAAGTACAATTCATAGTTAAAAATGTTTTAGACTTTAAAGCCTGTATGGCTATAGAGTTAAGGGTAAAATTTACCTTAAATTAAGGATGCTTAAAAACAAAGAATAAATTAAGGATAAATATTACCCATCTGAGTGTTTATATCAAAAATTCTGGTTATCTTTAAAGAAACTACTAATATGGCACATCTACAAATATCCTCTGATTTATTCAATTTATTTTTCAGGGTGGACGTGGTGAATGTGGCAAACCAGGAATCAAAGGTGACAAAGTAAGGAGCATAGTTTTAAAATGCTTACAGCTGTGATCCCTTTGGGGCTCAGTTTTCTTAAGAGGAAATTCCTGGGATGCATTATGTTGATCTCACTAATTGAAGAACCACTTGCTCAATTTTCACATCTGTAAACCATGAGACAAAAACCAAAGTCATACCTAACTTTAGTTAATAGAGCCCAAATACATTTCTTATGGACCATTAAGACTTTGTTTTGTGACTCCATAACCTTTGAAGCCATGTCTACTGAATGTTATGGTGAAAAGAATAATTCAACCAGTAAAATCAATTCAAACTCCAAAGGGGTCAAAGTAGAGTTGCTTCCCAGATGTAAATTCCTGGAATAGGCACTTTCCAAGGTAGAGTAGGAATACAATAAAATAAAAGTTACAATAATAAAATTATTATAAACAGTTTGGCAGAACTAATATATATGGGCTTGAAAATTCAGCATGTTGCAGATAACCAGATAATATTTTTGTTAAAAGAAATAAATATAGAAAGATAGTCCATGCCTTTGTTAAAATATATATCTTGCATATGGTCAATCCTTGTATGATCCTGTGAACATCCCAAGTGTCAAGTAAGACCCTGGAGGCTCCTTGAACACCTCTGGTGTAGACTTAATAGTTTCCTGCAGCACAGGACTTGAACTCCACACCACATCCCCTACCAATGATAGCATTGATTCTCCAGCCTACTTGGAATCAGCAGGAGGGGCCCCTGGACCCCCTGAACACCAGGAGATCCTCAGTCTTCTCCCCAAAATCTATGTTTGTTTACATATATATATAAATTATACATAAAATATTATATAAAATCTATTTATATTATTTAAATTAATGGCGGTGTTTGTGTTGAGGATTTATACAAAGTACTAGAAATATATGTATATATGTATTGCATATATAATATATACAGTACAGCTGAAACACAATGATAAAATGTTCTCCCTAAAAAGTAGAGTAAAAATAGTTAAGAATATAAACAACATGCTACCTGATGTACTAAAATCTTTTAATTATTTATTTTTTAATTATGATAGAGTCAAGGAGAGAAAATTAGACACAAAAGGGAATAGAAGAGAATAAAAATAGAAGAGAAAAAGAAGCAGATATACAGGCCCCTGTAACTAAGCACTGTAAGTAGTCTGAGACTTTCTGAGACTTTAAAAGTTTCAGATTCAAAAACTACAGTAGGTTAGGTAAAATCGAGCAAAATAAGAAGTGCAATAGTGAATGAATTCTTCCTGCAGGAAAATTAAAGGTGAGAAATGAAAATGAATTTGAAAATAAATATGTGACATACAGAAAAGTGCAAAAATTTAAATTAATAACCTGAAAATTATTTGAACTGAAACCTGAGTGATGACAAATTAATATATTACATTGACCTTAACCAGGTCAAATTTGACCTATGTGAAACTGACCTTAACCAGGTCAGTATTTTTTTTCCCTTTATTTTATTTTATTTTTAAAGTTGTAGATTTACAATTTTTTGTGCTTTGGTTTCAATTATACAATGATCAGATACCCATCCCTCCACCAGTGCCCATTTTCCACCACCATGGATAATAGCCCTCCCACCCCCATCCCCCCATCCCCCCTGTCTCTGTGGCAGGGCAATCCCCTGTGTTCTCTCTCTCCTTTTGGGTGTTGTGGTCTGCAAAAGAGGCATTGAGTGGCAAACATGTTCAGTCCATAGTCTACTTTCGACGTGCATCTCCCCTCCTGGGAGGATCCTCCAAACATCCTTTATTTGGTGCTCCCTTCTCTATCTGAACTGCCCTTTCCTCTAGGATACCCGGCTGGCCTCTAAGTTAGAGAGTAATCCTCCTGGTGCTGATCTCAGCTATTCTTGGGTATTAATCTCATACTTTGTTACTTTATATCCCCCAGATGAATGCAATCTTTCTATGTCTATCCCTCTCTTTCTGAATCATTTCGCTTAGCATGATACTTTCCATATTGTACCACTTGTATGTAAATTTCATGACTTCATCTTTTCTAACAGCTACATAGTACTCCATTGTGTAGATGTACCAAAGTTTCTTTAACAAGTCATCTGTTCTTGGGCATTCAGGTTTCTTCCAGTTTCTGGCTATTGTAAAGAGTGCTGCAATGAACAAACAAGTGCAGATGTCACTTCGACTATACATTTTTGCCTCTCTGGGATATATTCCCAGGAGTGGTATTGCTGGGTCAAATGGGAGCTCAATTTCTAATTTTTTGAGAATCGTCCATACTGTTTTCCAGAAGGGCTGAACCAGTGGACATTCCCACCAACAGTGAAGGAGTGTCCCTTTCTCGCCACATCCGCGCCAGCATCGGTTGCTTTTGTTCTTTTGAATGTGGGCCAGTCTCTGAGGTGTGAGATGGTATCTCATTGTGGTTTTGATCTGCATCTCCCTGATGATTAATGATGTAGAGCATTTTCTCATGTGCTTTTTTGCCATTCGGATTTCTTCTTTGAGAAATTTTCTGTTCATTTCATTGCCCCATTTTTGGATGGGGTTCGATGTTTTCTTCTTGTGGAGTTTACAGTATTTTGTATATCCTGGATATCAACCCCTTGTCAGATGTGTATTCGGTGAATATCCTTTCCCATTCTGTAGACTGTCTTTGTATTTTGGTCACTGTTTCTTTGGAGGTGCAGAAGCTTCTTAGTTTAAGATAGTCCCATTTATCTATCTCTGTTTTCACTTGCTCGGCCAGTAGCCGAGGGGAGGGGAGGGGAGGAGAGGGGAGGAGAGGGAAAGGAAGGGGAGGGGAAGGGAGGGGAGAGGGGAGGGGGGAGGGGAGGGGAGGGGAGGGTATCTTCATCTTTGAAGATACCATTAGCTTCAATGTCATGGAGGGTTTTGCCAACTTTATCTTCAATGTACCTTATGGTTTCTGGTCTGATGTTGAGGTCTTTAATCCATTTTGATCTTACTTTTGTACATGGTGTTAGGCAGAGTTCTGAGCCTATTTGTTTGCATGTAGCCGTCCAGTGATGCCAACACAATTTATTAAAGAGGCTTTCCTTACTCCACTTCACATTACTTGCACCTTTATCAAAGATTAGATGAGCATATGATTGAGGGGAGATGTCAGTGTATTCAACCCTGTTCCATTGGTCTGCAGTTCTGCCTTTGTTCCAGTACCATGCTGTTTTAATTATTACTGCTTTGTAGTACAGTTTGAAGTTCGGGAGGTTGATTCCTCCCATTTTCTTTTTCCTAAGAATTGCTTTACCTATTCGTGGGGGCTTATTGTTCCATATAAATTTCAGGAGTGTTTGCTCCATTTCTTTGAAGAATGTCATGGGTATCCTTATAGGGATTGCATTGAATTTATACAATGCTTTCGGTAGTATTGCCACTTTGACAATGTTAAGTCTCCCGACCCATGAGCAGGGGATATCTTTCCATTTCCTCATGTCCTCTTTTATTTCCTGAAGTAGCGTTTTGTAGTTTTCTTTGTACAGGTCCTTTACTTCCTTAGTTAAGCTGATTCCCAGGTACTTGATTTTCTGGGGCACAATTGTGAACGGGATTGTTTTTTTCATGTTGCTTTCTTCTCTCTCACTGTTTGCGTATAGGAAAGCCATGGACTTTTGGGTATTGATTTTATAACCTGTAACTTTACTATACAAGTCTATTGTTTCTAGGAGTTTTTTGGTGGAAGTTATTGGGTTCTCTAAGTAGAGTATCATATCATCTGCAAATAGTGAGAGCTTGATTTCTTCCTTTCCTACCTGAATGCCCTTAATATCTTTTTCCTGCCTAATCGCTATTGCAAGTACTTCCAGTACTATATTGAACAGCAGTGGAGAGAGTGGGCATCCCTGTCTCGTCCCTGATCTTAGAGGGAAGGCTCTCAGTTTTTCCCCATTGAGGATGATGCTTGCTGTAGGCTTGTGGTAGATGGCTTTAATTATGTTGAGGAAGGTCCCCTCTATACCCATTTTGGCTAGGGTTTTCATCATAAAGGGGTGCTGGATCTTATCAAATGCTTTCTCTGCATCTATTGATATGATCATATGCTTTTTATCTTTTCTTTTGTTGGTATGGTGGATTATGTTGATTGATTTCCGAATGTTAAACCATCCTTGCATCCCTGGGATGAATCCTATTTGGTCATGGTGTATGATCTTTTTGATGAGTAGTTGGATTCTATTTGCTAGTAGTTTGTTGAGGATCTTTGCATCTGTGTTCATCAGGGATATCGGCCTGTAATTCTCTTTCTTTGTGGAATCTCTGTCTGCTTTTGGTATCAGTGTGATATTTGCTTCGTAGAAACTGTTCGGAAGTGTTTTTGATATTTCAATTTCGTGGAAAAGCTTAAAGAGTATTGGGAGTAAGTCCTCTTTAAAGATTTGGAAGAATTCACTAGTGAATCCATCCGGGCCAGGACTTTTGTGCTTGGGGAGACTTTTTATTACCATTTCAATTTCCTTGATGGTGATAGGTCTGTTCAGGTATTCCAGGTCTTCTTGGTTCAGCCTTGGGAGTCTGTAGGAGTCTAGGAATTTATCCATTTCCTCGAGGTTTTGATGTTCCGTGGCATAAAGCTTCTCAAAGTACTCCCTGAGGATCCTCTGAATTTCTGTGGTTTCTGTTGTAATGACCCCCTTTTCATTTCTGATTCGGTTTATTAGGGTTTTCTCTCTCCTTTTCTTTGTGAGTTTTGCTAGAGGCTTATTGATCTTGTTAATTTTCTCAAAGAACCAGCTTTTGGTTTCATTGATCTTTCGGATTGTTTTTTGGGTTTCCATCTCATTAATCTCTGCTCTGAGTTTTATTATTTCCTTTCTCCTGTTCGGATTGTGCTCCTTTTTTTGGTCCCTCTCCAAGCTCTTAAGCTGTGAGGTTAGGTTACTTATGTGTGCTCGCTCCTCCTTCCTGAGGAATGCTTGTAGAGCTATAAACTTTCCTCTTAACACAGCCTTTGCTGTGTCCCATAAGTTTTGGTAACTCGTGTTCTCATTTTCATTCGTTTCTAGGAATCTTTTGATTTCCTCTTTGATTTCCTGTCTAATCCACTCGTTGTTCAATAGTGCACTGTTTAATTTCCAGGTGTTTGATTTAGTTTTCTGTTTTTGTGTGTGATTTACTTCTAATTTCAGCGCATTATGGTCTGAGAAGATTGTTGATACAATCTCTACCTTCTTAATTTTATGGAGGCATGTTTTGTGGCTCAGCATGTGGTCTATCTTGGAGAATGTTCCATGTACGCTTGAGAAGAATGTGTATTCAGCTTTTTGTGGATGAAGTGTCCTGTATATATCTACTAAGTCCCTTTCTTCCATTGTTTCCCTCAAATGAATTATGTCCTTGCTAAGCTTGAGTCCGGTTGATCTATCAAGAGGTGACAAAGCAGTGTTGAAGTCTCCCACTAGTATTGTGTTGCTATTGATGTCTTTTTCCAAATCTATGAGTAGTTGTTTTAAGTACTTTGCTGGTCTCTCATTAGGTGCATATACATTTATTATTGTAAGTTCTTCCTGTTGTACAGATCCTTTGATCAATAAGAAATGGCCTTCATTTTCTCTTATGACCTTCCTCACTCTGAAATCGATGTGGTCTGATATAAGGATGGCTACCCCAGCTTTTTTATGGGAGCAGTTTGCCTGTACGATTGTTTTACAGCCTTTGACTCTGAGTCTGTGTTTGCTTTGACTATTGAGATGCATTTCTTGCAGGCAGCAGAATGTTGGGTTCAATTTTCTAATCCATCCTGCCACTCTATGTCTTTTAATTGGTGCGTTTAGCCCATTGACATTGAGAGAGATTATTGTTATGGGATCTTGTCCCATTGTTCTGTTGAAATTTGGTGTATTTGAGGGGCCTTTCTTGCCTTAAAGTAGCCCATTTAGTTGTTCTTGTAACCATGGTTTTGAGTCTATGAAGTTCCTGAGCTGTTGTTTGTCTGTGAAACTGTGTGTTGTTCCTTCTATTATGAATGAGAGTCTTGCTGGGAAAAGTATTTTTGGGGAGGCACTTATTTCATTGAGTTTTTTTACTATGTCCCACCACTGTTTGCGGCCCATGAGGGTTTCATCAGAAAAATCAGCTGTGAATTTTAAGGATGCTCCTTTGTAAGAGATTTCTTTCTTCGATCTTGCTGCTTTCAGAATTTTGTCTCTGTCTAAGGTTTTGGTCATTTTGATCAGAATGTGTCTTGGGGTATTTTTATTCGGATTTCTTCTAGCTGGTACCCTTCGGGCCTCCTGAATGTGGTCACAAGTTTTCTTCACCTCTGGAAATGTTGTAGCAATGATTTCTTTGACAGTTTCTTCTTCATCGAGGTTTTCTTCCTGTACCTCTGGGACTCCAATAATTCTTATGTTACCCCTCTTGGCTTGATCACGATCTTCTCTTGCCATCTGTTCCCGAATTGTGAGTCTCTTTTCCGTTTTCTGCTCTTTTCTGGAGAGTCTCTGAACTTCATCTTCGAGCTCACTGATTCTGTTCTCAGCCGCTCTTACTCTGCTGCTGAGGCCTTCCACTGAGCTTTTCAATTTGCCTTCGAGATTTTTCAGGTCTGACATTTCTGATTGCATTTTCCTCATTTCTGCCTTCAGATCCTCTTGTCTTCTATTGGCATTGGTTTCCATTGTTTCTTTTAATTCCCTAAGCATCCTAAGTAGCTCCCTCCTGAATTCCTTGTCAGAGAGGTTGTCTAACACTACAGTACTGTTGGTGTCATCTGGGCTAGACTCTTCAATATGAAAGTTTGGTGGGCTTTTGCGTTGCTTTACCATTGTGAGAGGTGTGTTTTAGTCCTTCACGTTCACTGTTACTATTCTGCTTGATATGCAGTGTGAGTTGAGATAGGCTTATGAGTTATTGGCTACTGTGTTTCTAGTGGCTGAGCTAAAATAGAGAAGTTTCCATCTAAGAAGGTAGCTTATGGTTCCTATGGCATATGTAGTGAGAAAATATTTCGCGACCGCGTTAGCGGCCGCAGCTCCGGAAAGAATCCCTGGCACTGGGCGAGGAGTTGGGAACGTCTCCTGTTTGGAATTGGAGCCGTTCAGCTTTGTTGCCCAGAGCTGGGCCTCTGTGCCCGTCCCACGCAGATCAGGGGTTGAAAACCGGCTTTCTAGGGGCTGTTTCTAGCTGCGCGTGCCCAGAGAGGGACACAGGCCCTTGGGGGTGGCCAGGTCAGTATTTAACTATCTAAATATCCTATTATTTTCTGTGCTGAAAAAGAAAGAAAAAGTGCTGCCAATATATAAATATTCACTATCACTATAACCCCATTGTTCATTGATTTGCTCGAGCAGGCGCCAGTAACGTCTTCATTTGTCCCTATCACATGCTAGTGTAGCCCAATGGCATATTGGGGGCTCTTTCAGGGTCAGGGGAATGAGGATCATCATTGTTACTGTTTTTGGCATATCAAGTATGCCATGGGTAGCTTGCTAGGCTCTGCCGTGTGAGCAGGATAATCTCAGTAGCTTGCCAGGCTCTCTGAGAGGGATGGAGGCTTTTGGGCAGCCTCTATCACCTTTTATGTGTGTTCCCAGTTAGACATATATGTGGGCAAGTTACTCTCTCTGAGAGCAAGAACTTGACAATAAGCCTCCGGGAGCTTGGTTTTAAAGTCTCTGGATCTTGGTCATTGATGGGATTACACGGCAGTTGATGGGTGTAACTTTCTTGCTACAGGAAGATGGGGGGTCTGGGTGGAGGAGGCCCAGTCTCGATCTGAGCAGGCTTGGAGATCTCAGCCTTGGGTCCCACACACCTGGGTTCCTCTGCCGGCTTCCTCATGCATGAGGCTTGTCCTAGCATGTGGAGAGTGGTCTCAGCATGGCTGTGGTTTGGTCCTGGAGGTCTTCAGCTACCGGGGCTCTGTTCAAGGCAGAGAGGGAAACTCAACCTTCTCCCTCTAATAAATAATATATTTATTTTTCATGTATAAATATTACATGTAATTAATTGTAAGATATATCTCAAAAGTAGAGATGTAAAATTCTAAACAAAATGCTTCTCTAGTTCCAATGAAAGACCAAATAAGTAGGAAACAAAATTGTATATACACTTTGATCAAATTATTTAAAGAAAATTATCTTTGGAATATAATCAAATGACTATATGTTACAAATATTAATAGCAGTTGCCTTTGTGTGATTTAATGTTTGTTTAAAAACTTTTTTCTAGGGGCTGGAGCAATAGCACAGTGGGTAAGGTGTTTGCCTTGCATTCGGTTGACCCGGGTTTGATTCCCAGCATCTCATATGGTCCCCCGAGCACCACCAAAAGTAATTCCCGAGTGCATGAGGCAGGAGGAATCTCTGTGTAATGCTGGGTGTGACCCAAAAAAACAAAAACCAAACAAACAAAAAATCTTTTATCTAGAAGTGTCTAATTCTGCTATAACAGGTATTTAGGTAAAGAGAAAAAAGGAAATCTCGAAAGAGACTCGATTATATTGTACTCTCATAAAAAGTAAACCTTAATAATTTTCTATTTATAAAATATGTGAAAAATTTATGAAGAATAATGTTGAACGTAAGCAGTGTTTTACCAAATTCTGTGTCTTGAAGATGAGCAAAAGAATTGTGGAGCCATCATTGAAAACTTAATTGTTAATTTAACTGTCACTGCATGTTGGAAGGAAACAATATTCTACCAGGTTTACTATTTTGGGGGACTGGAGAGGGACCACATCCAGCTACTCTCAGGGTTTACTCCTGACTCTGAGCTTAGGAATCACTCCAGGTGTGGCTTCGAGGACCATATGGGGTGGCAAGGATCCAATCCAGGTGAGTCACATACAAGGCAATTATCTTCACCTCTGTAGTATCTCTCCGGCCACCAGGTTTAATGTTTTTTAAAGGAATCTTAGGAAATTAATCCTTTTCTGGTCCAGAGAGATAATATGACCACTAGCACTTCATAGTGACCCCTGACCCTGCAGGACTGAAGGCAGAGCCAGGAGTAAACCCATAATACATCTGGGTGTGGCCCCCAAATGAAAAACAACAACAAAAAGAAACACATTTTTTCTCTAATCAAAATATCAATATATAAGCAAAGGATATCTAATATGTGTTAGGTTTTGTTCACTAGAGGCAATTTTGATGTTGGTTTGCTTGTTGTTCGGATCATTTGTAAATGGTGAATTTGCTGACTATGACGTTTGGATGACCTAAGAAAATGAGAACACATTCTGTTTTTCATTAAAATCATTGTTTTTTTAAAATAGGGTTTTTAGAGCAATTTAACTGTTTATTTTATTTCACAGGGATCCCCAGGGCCATATGGATTAAAAGGACCCAGAGGACTCCAGGTAAAAAGGGCATAACCTGAACCTAAATCCTATTGGGAGCTTTAAAAAGTCTTTGCCCATTTGCAACATCTATGAACTCAGTCAGGGTATCTGGAGATTGAAGCCAGGAATCAATATTTTAAAGATTCCCAAAGGATTTAAAAATTTGGAAAACACTTCTTCAAAGTCTATATAACTAGTTCAGGCATCTTAAACACAGGTACCAGAATGAGAATCTACTTAATGAGTAGCTGAGAGATAAAAATTAAAATTTAGATTGTAAGAAAACAGATATAATTAGTTAAAAGTGTATACAATTTTTATATTACTACAGGCACATACTTGAAAGATCTATGTATCTTTTAAAAAGTCTATGTATCTTATTCAGTTCATAAAATTTTCACTGTTCCATCTTTTTCTATAAATAGTGCTCAGTAATATGAAATATTTTAAATAATTTAAGTTAGATATATCCTGTAGATTTCAGAAAACAATTTGGATCATTTTTTTTCTACTTGGGGGCTTTTCTAATAATGGAATAGAGGAAAGTATATGTAAACAGTTAACTTTAGTATTTGAATAACTCAATTGAAAATTATACTTTCACCAAGATTTATTAGACAGCATCTAGTAAACCATAAATGCCTTTGTTTTGGCTAGAATTTTGTCAGGGCAGGACAGTTAGTCTGGTTATCATGGGGCCATTAGAAGCTCCAATTTTTAGATATATTTGCCTGAGTTTTTTAGAAGATATTTCATAGGCAAAAACATTCAATAAAAGGGTCCTCATTAGGAATGTTTGAAAACAAAGGTTTAAATAGCAAATATCTCATTAACAAGTGCTTATTCTCAGTTTTTAGACTATTTTAGAAACTTATTAACAAGAAATTTTTTATTTAATTCCACTTTTTAACTGCATGAAATTCCAACATAATTTTTATCTAGTTTGACTTCTAACTCCAGGAGTAGAGGGGGACTTAATGTATTAATTTCATTCCTTGTTGACCTTGTGTTTACACAGCTAATTGTTGGTTTTCATCTTGGAGCAGGGCATTAGTGGACCTCCAGGGGAACCAGGACCGAAGGGATTTCAAGGCAGTAAGGTAATCATATTCTTTGGTTAAAGAGACTAAGACTTCCCTGAGTGAAATATAGTAAAATGTATTTTTAATGAGACAAAAGTCAATGTACTCTTTGAGGACATATATTTAAAAATACAAAATATGCAGGTATGTCCAGGTGAAAATGTACACAGGATATGAGTGATAGTTCTGTTGTTTATTAAAATATTATCCAACTGGAAATTATTAATTATAAGCCATAATCAAGAATCTTTGTATTGTTTTCTCCTTACTTCTTTCCTATAGCCATTTCATGACTCAACTAGAAATTGGTATAGTGATGTGACACAGTTGAATTTCTTTCTCATGTAACATGTTTAAAAGCCAAATAGGACCAAAAGACAGTACAAGAGAAATCTTTAATATGTCCTCTCTTAGGGCTCCATCTTTCAATGAACAACATTAATTGCTGAAAACAAGCTTCATAGCTTCTACTAAACTCTTTTCAGTGATAAATAAATTTCATGGATTTGGTAAATATCCAATAAATGGCGTGGAGTTTGTGTCTGTTAATGTGTGGAATTTGCAGCACAGATAACATCAGAAGGGGCTATCCCCAGTGGACCAGAGATAAGCCAATCTTTTAAGGTTGCTGTTAAATATAAGTTGTGGGGAGCAGTTGAGGTAGGAGAATGTTCTTTCTCCTGGGAGAGGAAAGGGAATGACAAGTAGAGTATTTTTAATGAGATAATGACAGTGTGTGATTTCCCAGGCCACTTTTAATTGGCAAATTAAAATAGAATTGGCTTCTCTGCAGGAGTGTGCTTGAACTTCATCTGGGTAAACTGTCTTTTCCAGTCCTTGCCTATGATTAATTCTCTCTGGGGAAAAGAAATGGTCCCTTTGAATACTGAGTAGAAGTTTCCATGAAATTGCTTTGACTGTAGATAAAATCCTACAGCAAGAAAAAAATATTTTGACAGTCTACAGTTACTTCTAGGATTTTAAAAAAGAACTTAACGTACCTAAAACAATAATTTTTTATTCTTAATTTGTTGAACAGTCTCTATACCATTTTCCATAAAGGCCAAACCAGACAATATTCCCACCAATAGTGATACTGGATGGAGAGTATTTGTCACATTGGTGGTGAAGTTGAAGTACCTTGTATAGCAAAACCATAGATGTTACAATACTATTAGACCATGATATGTAAAGTAAAATTTAAAAAAATACATCGAGGATTTTAAAAATGGGATAATTCAGACAAAAAAAGTTTTTTGCATGTTTGGCATGTTTGTGAAAGGGAGTTTAAAACTAGGGTTCAAGTCCTCACAACTCTGACTAGTCGGACTGAGTAGAACAAAGATTCAAATCCCGCCAATTTGTTCTCTTTTTGTGGGAGAGGAGTTTTCCCACACCTGTCAGTGCTCAGGACTTATTCTGGCTTTGTACTCAGGAATCACTCCTGGTGGTGTTCAGGGGACCATACTTGGTTGGATCCAGTAAAAGAACCAGTGTTGGCGGCATGCAGTGCAAGTGCATTACCCACTATTTTATCCCTTTGGCCCTGTAACCAGTTTTCTCTTAACCACAGTGTTTTTATTCCTTTATGAAAATTGCTAAGTTTTGTAGATAGAGAGAGATAAATACATTTTTTTTTGTGGTGATCTTGAAATTGCATCTGTCTTCCCTTCTGACTGGAATCTATGAAGAGGCATATTTTCCCTTGATTATAATGTTCATCTGAAGATTGAGAAAAAATAGAAATTGCATGGGAATTAGAAACAAGTAATTCAAATGATGAGTTTTAAAATACTGTCTTTTTACACCTTAAAATAGATATAATGTTTGCAAAAATTCTCTGAGAGTTTCTAGATGGGGCCTGCTCTATTTTTGACTTTATGAACTATTCCTCATGAACTCCAGTCTTACTCTATTTTTCTAGTACTTAGATTTTCATCATGAAAGGGTTTGCAGAAAGAGTGCCAAAGAAGAAAAGGGAAAAAAATTAGCTAGCATGCATTAAGCAAGGAAAAACAATTCTGTCCCTGTATCACAAGTCATTTCTACCATTAATATCTTCCATATGTAAAGTAACTGCTATTCAGCCCTGAAGGCTCTTGTTGCCTTAGAAACAAAACAGAGATGTGGCTCAGAATGAAACTTTGGTTCTGAAACCTTCTCAGCCACTCCCATTTGTGAGAGCTGTGCAGTGGCATTCATAAGCAGAGCATGTGTCATTCTCTGAATCAAGTAGAATCATAATCACAGAAGTGCCCAAGAAGCTATATCCCCTCGACTAAACTGAAAGTAATTCAGAAGAGAGACCTATACTTCTTCTGAGTAATCAAGGAGCACTCAGGAGCGCTAAGCTGACTTCCATGGGAATTCATGTAGCAATCACCTCTGACCATGGAATCGGGCTCTTAGAAACTAGAGAAGATGGATCAAGACTGGCGGGCTTTCAAATCACAGAGAACAAACTCCAATAATTAGTTTTGAACAAATAAACAGAGTGTGTGTCAAGACTTCATTAGGCAAAACTTTCCATTCTATTAGGTTTTTCCAAGGTTATTTATGAAAGATACTTTCTTTTCAAATCTCATGCAAGTCTGTTCTTTCCTAAACCCACTTTGTACTTCTAGGAGAAAGGACTGTTTATTGTGGTAAGAACAAGAAACGGCTTTGATACTTTGAAGTGTCTTAGCTCTGGAACTGCAGAGCTAGGGCCAAATATCTATAAAATAACTCTGTTGGGGTCAGAAAGATAGTCCAGTGGGTCTCTGAAGCGTGTGGAATGACTGGTTTGACCATCTGCACTTGGTTCTCAGAGTACCTCTAGAAAGGACTCCTAAGCACAAAACCAAGAGTAGCCTCGGAGTACCACTGGGTGTCAGCTCAAACAGAAAAAAAAAAAAATCCTGATGTGTTAAAAAAATCCCCGGCTCTCCCCTGGAGGGCTGTGAAATTCCCCAACTGCAGGGCTGTGTAAACCCCTCACGCGCTCAGGGATTACACGTGAAAGGCTGTTTGCCCCCTCTCTCTTGCTGCTGGAGTTTGGTACTTTTGAACCGCTTCTCCACCCTGGACAGCCGAAGGAACGAGGGTCAAGCTGGTTGCTGATTAGTTGCCATTTATTCAATCTCTCTTCTCTCCCAGCTCTCTCCACCGCTCTCTCTCTCTCTCTCTCTCTCTCTCTCTCTCTCTCTCTCTCTCTCTCTGTGTGTGTGTCTCTAACCGCACAATTCTTCCTTCCCGCTGTATTTCTGTCTGCTGTCTCTCCCTCTCTCTTCTCCTTTTCCTTCAATCAATCAATCCATTCAACAAATCAATCCTTTCTCCCCGCAGGGCTCTTTTGTTTTATCCTCTCACCATACCTCCCCAACCACGCCTCCTCACGGGAAGTTTGATCAAAAATGTTTTTGCAGACTTCCTGACCACCTGTAGCCCATAAGGCAAAACAGTCCTTAAGGTGTGTTTCTCCTCTCCTTAGACATGCAACTTAATTGGCATCTTTAATTTTCCTTCCTAATATTTACCATTCTGTATGGACACAGTAATAGACACTTTTAGGCTTGTAGGGTGACTCTCCTGGGGACATCTTAATACAGACTAAGACTACAGTGCTCAGGCCAGATCAATCATTCCTAATCCCAGCAGGGTCGAAATCTAGTTATTGTTTTTTGGATCATCAATTTTTCCATGACCAAGCCCTTAACTTATAGTTAAGCATTAGGGCACTTTGGCCAGGCCCATTTCGATGCCAGGGTAGCTCATAGCTCAGTGTTTGCCCTGGGTTCATCCTGTCCTTCGTCGGGACCCTGCTTTGGGGGATCTAGGAAGTTTTAAGGGCAACTGAGGCGAGAGTCAATACAGCAGATGTCCAGGATGTATATTATCTGGAGTGAATCAGCTCCCAAGCCATAGGATTATCTTTTTACCTGTCTTCCTGTGTCATACAAAAAGTAATTGCTCTGAAATAACTAACCATGCAAAGGATGTAAGGAGAAGAGAAAGACAATATTTACAAGTCAGAGTCTGATCAGGGACAAAGGTAATTGACAGGTTGGGGTCAGTCAACAAATCCAAGTTCCCAGCAGCCAGGGAGGAAGGGCAAACCAATGTTATCCTACACTGATATATTTCCCTAAGGCAAGGAAAGCATCTCATAACAATTATCAAAGAATCTAAAAATACTACATTATAGTGTATGTAAATTAATTTTCTTAATGGATAAAATTGCTTCCCTTCTAAACTCTTTTGTTGTTCTACTTAAGATGTTTATTTTTTCTACATACCCCCCTGATTATACATAGTGTTTCATTTTTGTTCTAAATTCAAATGTTAAAAAAGTAAAACTGAAAAAATATAGCAAAAAACAACAACAAAACTTTTGTCTTAAAATGAGACCTGACCTTATTTTGCATTTAATTTAGTTTCTAAGATATTTAAAGAAACCCACAGAGAAATAGTATCTATCAGCCTGGTCCAGTTTAATATAAAAATGTATAGGTTGGGTAAATAATATCCAAATAAACATCCATTCATCCATCCCTTTAGCAAAAAATGAGTGGTCAGAGTGGTAGTATAGCGGGTAGGCTGCCTGCCTTGCATGAGACTGACCGGGTTTGATTTTTGGCACCCCATATGGTCCTCAGATCCCTACCAGGAGTGATTCTCTGAAAGCAGGACTGGGAGTGAGCATTGCTAGGTGTGGTCCCAAAACTTAAAATAAAGGAAAAATAAACTTAATATTAATGAATAAACTGAAACTATGATTCAGGAAGAGTAATTGCAGGCAAATGAACAGTAGATCACAACAAAGTTTTACATAACTATACCACCATTCTTGGACAACATATTTTTCTTTATCCAAATGTGTCAAGCTTCTATCCTGTTATATGAAGCTCCCAAGTACAGAGGGATTATTCAAGTAACTTTTTTTTCACTTATGAGAGAGTAAGTGAATAAGAACTACATATGCTTGTCCTGAGATTAAACATCCCTATTCAACATCTATTTTCTTCAAAATACTAAAA